CCCAGCATAGGTCCACAGCAATACCATATTGAAAACTATAGTAAAACCGTGCTATGAAAAATCTCTTTCTCTCTGTTTGTCATTGAAACTTGTCTTGCATGATAAAATAGATCAAGTGCATTCATTCTGATATAATCCTAGTTTTTAATGTAGACACGTTTCTTAAACCAGGGAAAAATCCCTTTGATTTTACGGGTGGTGTTTCCCCTCCCCCCTTCAGAATGCTTGCCTTGGTTAATAAAAATAAGTATTCTATTGGTATGCACTGAATATATTCAAAGGAAGCATTTCTCAGACTCTTAGAATAATTGAATTGGCTGTTTCATATGCTGTGGAAAGTCTAGGTCATTTAAGAGATAATTTCCAAATGTCCACCTTTTGACTTTGGAGTATGAATCAATCCTAGATTATAAAAGCACTAAGCATTCACAGTGAAAGAGACCCAAAAGCTTGCTCTTCTGGACTGGATGTGGAAAAGACAATCAAGAAATAAATCCATTAAGGGAGACTGGGGTACCCGTAGACTGGGGTGGTTACTCACCAAGGAGAATACAGGTTGCTTGGCATGAAGCTCCCTATCGTTACATTATTTATTTTCACTTATTAAGGGTATGATTCTAACCCCCTGAGAAGTGCTGCTTGAGGGCATTATGATTAGGTGGGGTGGGGTTGGGCTGTACAGTGGAGGCCCCTACTATGTCCACTGAAAGTGCAGGTGGGTGACTAGTGGGAGACTCCAAAAGGGGCATTGCGGTGGTTATGGATGCACTGGATCTGGGCTAGATTATTTCCCTTATTCAGGCTCCTCTGCTGCACCAGCCAGGAGTTGGTGTAACAAAAAAAGTAAAAGCCAACTACTGTACTCCAGCTTATTTGACAGGAGCTGGCAGGTCTGAAGGTACAGTCGAGGGCTTGCTGCTCTACCCCTCTCTGGCTGTGGATGTAGAGACCAATACAGGAGAGACACATTTTATTGCAGGTGGGGCATATGAAGGAATCTGGTTTTGCTGCTACAGGTACACCATGGCGTTTTTTCTCTCTGTTCTCCCAGCTGTCTTCCTCCTCTAATCACTGCTGTGGATACACGGCCTGTCTATCTGTCTCCAAGCATTGTGATTGTCTACAAAGGATTTCCATATGGCGGGGTTAGTGTTGCCTGCCTTCATGTCACATTTGCAGACATCTTTGTAACACAGTCCAACCCCCTGCAATGCAGGAATCTCAATTGAATCATACATGACACATGGTCATCCAACCTCTGCTTAAAAACCTCCAAGGAGAGTCCACCACCTCAAGGCCAATCAAGGCTTTTAATGGAATAGACATGCTAGCTGCCTGGGTGAAAGGCAAGAGCAGAGAGTTTGCAGTGATTTGAGCTACAGGCAAAGCGGCAAACTGGGAGCCAAAAGAGATAGAGCAATGTCTGATTTCTGTTTGAATTCAAGGCTGCAGCTTTGGAAGAAGCAAGGCCCTTTTGGCATGTTAATGTTGTGAACCCCTCCATCGCAGGCTCAGGTTGTATATAGGTATATATAAACCATGTAGTGTAAAGACATGACAGTCTCTGCTGTACCTCATTTCAGAGGAAACATGAACTAAGGGTAACCACCTGGAATTCCTGGAATCTCACACTGCTTGGATATTGGGGTGGCATGCAAAAATATAATGAGCTTTGCAGTAATATTAAGAGCTCTTTAAAAAGTTTAATATGCTGTTGATCTAATAATATGGTCATGTAACTCATAAAGATTAGAAAAGGGGGGGGGGGACATGAGAAAAACCACAGATGCAAGGCCATAAGCTCACACCTGGAAAACTCCCATACACCAGTTCTGCACATTTCAAGTTCTCATAGGGATACAAATGGCTCAAGTTGCATATCACTGGGTTGTGAAGAATAAATTGAGTTTGGCGATGAGACATCAGCTTTTATCATGGGACAAGATCACCTTAGAATGTCCAAGAGAAATATTTGGAGGACCCCCTGCACACACATGGAAGTCATGTTGGAAACATTTAAGGACTGATCTGCAGTTTGAAGGAGAAAGAGAAAAAATAGCCTGAACAGTGGGAAAGGAAGCCTACTGCATGGAAGAAGGTGTTAAAACATTGATGCAGGATCTTCTCTATGGTAATGAGCATTGCCTAGTTTTACATCATCTCCATTTGTATGATCAGAAACATTTACACCCTCACCTCCTTGGGATGATTCATCCGAAAATTGGATGCTTCCCAGCTCTTCTTGGCTTTCCCACAGGGGTCGATGTAAAAGCTGCTCTGCAGGCTTTTTGACATTGAGCCAACAGTCTGGTTCCATTTTTGTTCAAATAGAGCCTTTCCCTTCCATACAGGCCTGGCTTGTCCCTAACCATTTTCTAGTGCCTAATAAATTCAAAACTCTTCTTTTGGCACCACCATTCATCCATTCCTTTGAGTCCCTTTGGCCCTGCTTGTCTAGTGTGGAGCAGGGAGAATTTCTGAGAAAGCAACCTTGGAATGTGTAGAAATTGACTTCCTACTTAGGAACTGACATTTTTCTTTCTGGGCCACACAATTACATGTGGCCACATGTTATTGGTGTGGATGTGCTTAGTGACTCCTTTACCTCTTTTCCAGCACTAATAGCCTGCCCAAACAAGAATGACATCTGCAGACTGCACCCCAGGTAGACAAATAACCACCTAGTCTACATGCCCAACAAAAACCCATTACCTGCTAAGTATGAGTCCCCTGCTTCCCAACCTTTGAGGAGTATCATATCACTGAAGATTTAGTCTATAAACCTCCCTGCCTCCTTCGACTTCTCCAGATAAACTGCCTTGGTCTCACTAGAACCAGTGTTCCCCAAGTCAGATCTAATTTCACCAAGCATACACACATAACTTATGTCCAGCTTTCTGATAGTCATACATATTACATTTTATGCAGTACACTGGATAGCCCCCACCTCACCCCACCCCAACTGTGTGGGTTTTGATCCCCATAGCTGGTTCTTGTTTGTTGGATTTGTTTACTTTAAAAGGTGGGATTTGCAAAATCAAAAGGGGACAGGTTGGCTGACCAGGCCTCTTCTCCCTGTTGCTAAACTTGCATTGGTGCTTATTTGCTGGTCTGTTTTAACTGTTTAGCTCAATGCTTTGCCACTTGGGCTGCGATGCTTCATCAATTGAGGCTCTCCCCATACAGTGGTACCTTGGTTTTTGAATGTCTCTGTTGATGAACATTTTGGTTTTCAAACGCTGTAAACCCGGAAGTAAATGCTTTGATTTTCCAACATGCCTTAGAAGTAGAGCAGGCCACATGGCTTCCACTGAGTGCAAGATCCTGAGGCGTAGCTGTTGGCTATTGAGTTTTCGGTTTCTGAACATTTCAGAACTTGAATCATCTTCCGGAACGGATTACGTTTGAAAACCGAGGTACCACTATACTTGTAAATCTGGGCTTCCTTGAAAGTTTTTTTCTTTTATTCTGTTAGCTGGCCTCCCTCAACTTCTGCTGCAGCCAGTTAGATTAAGAAGGCCTTGATTAAAAATAAGGGTGTGTGAATCAGCTGTTGGGTTGTGCCAGATTCTGGTGCCCTTTGGGTGCCACATGAAGACTTTTTTTTCAAGGACTTTTAACTATTGTTGATCTTTTCAGTTAGATTCTTTATGTTTATATGGTGTTTCATGGAACTCCCATGCCATGCCTGTTTTTAGTCATCACTAACTTTTGCTGGTTTTGAGTCCAGAGGCCTTAGAAAAGAAATAAAAGCACACATACACCATCAATTGATGAAAGCACTATGCACAACACACGCAGTAGGAATTAACTCTCATTTGTGCTCTCCGCTAGTTCCGTGAACGGATGCTAGTTGATCCTCCCCCCAGCAAGAAACAAGGATATTATTAATAAAGGTTTCCCAAGAAAAACACTTTCCAGACATTTGAGAGCAAAAGCAGCTTCAAGTTCAAAGAGCCCCCAGAGAAGATTTGGCCAGCCACCAAGAAAGAGTGGATTCTTCACTGCCAGCACCTGAAAGGAAATACAAGCATTTTCTACAAAGTCTCATGCTAAAGGAGCAAATGGCAATGAGGAGCTCTGAGCCAAGTTTTTTAATTATAATGTGAGGGAGACAAATGGATGACCTAGGAGTCATAATATATTGTGCACCTGGATGTAGGATATACATTTATAGGGAATAGAATAAATCTTTTCATATGGCTGGTATTTATTCCTGCAAGCACTTTGACAAAGATGAACAATGTCTGCAAAAATTACATTTAATGGTAGATAAAGCACAACATTTTGTTGACTGTAACCAGCTAATGCAGGGATGAAGTGCATTCAAGAGTACATTAGCATACCTTGTTACAAGGACTAATTAAATATATTGCCAAGTAGGATATTTGGCCATACAGGGGGTAAAAAGCAGTATGACTTTTATTCTGCCCTGGCCAATCTGCTATGATTTTCTTTTTTTAGCACTGCAAAGAGATCAGCTGATTCTATGAGAAAAGGTAGATTTTCCTAATACAATATTACACAACTAAATGCTCATTGACCTTAGTGTATATTTGATGATGTAGCATGGTATTGGAGCACTGTGCACATAAATACAGAATAACCTGTTTCCAGGTATAGGCTGCTTTTGATGGGTTGGAGTGGTTGGTTGCACTCCACCTTGGGTCTTAGTATTAATTCCTCATCCTTGCACTAGAGAGTGGAACATATAAGGTGGCAGATAGAGATGGACAAAAAGACCAGAAGAATTATCAGGAGAAAGGTATTGTCAGCACAATCGGATATACAGTATGTCTATTCAAAAGTTAGTCCCACTGAGATCAGCGTGGCTGACTTCCAGGTAAGTAGGTATGGGATTATAGCTTGATTCTTCTTTCCAGCCTCCTAGGGAATATGGGAAGCTGCCTTTATACTATTGCTCCGTGTAGCTCAGTGCTGTTTATAGCCTGTCAGCAGTCTCTCCAGGATTTAAGGCAATATTCTTTCCCTGGCCTACCTTGAGATGCCAGGGATTGAACCCGGTACCTTCTGCATGTAAAGCAGATGCTTTACCACTCAACTATGGTTCTTTACCAAGGAAGGAAGGAAGGAAGGAGAGAGAGACTGAGGATGGACAAAAAGGAGGAAAGAAAATAGAACCATAAGGAAAGAAGATAAGAGTATGAAGGCCTAGCATCTAGCTCCTGATTTTCAACCTAGCAAACTGTCTCTAATCTATTTCACCTTTGCCAGATTACAGAGTCAGAAAATGCAAATTGTGCATTTATAATATATAATGACACACATTTGTAGGTAAGAACGGTTTTGTATGCATTGAGCAAGCTAATGGGAAAGAGGCATGAACGAAGAAGCTCATACTTTTACTATGAGCGCATTTACTCACAGTTCTAAAATACAGTGGTAAAGGTAAAGGTACCCCTGACCATTAGGTCCAGTCGCGGACAACTCTGGGGTTGCGGCGCTCACCTCGCTCTATAGGCCGAGGGAGCCAGCTTTTGTCCGCAGACAGCTTCCGGGTCATGTGGCCAGTATGACTAAGCTGCTTCTGGAGAACCAGAGCAGTGCACGGAAACGCTGTTTACCTTCCTGCTGGAACAGTACCTATTTATCTACTTGCACTTGATGTGCTTTTGAACTGCTAGGTGGGCAGGAGCTGGGACCAAACAACAGGAGCTCACCCCGTCGCAGGGATTCGAACCACCGACCTACTGATCGGCAAGCCCTAGGCTCTGTGGTTTAGACCACAGCACCACCTGCGTCCCATAAAATACAGTGGTACCTTGGGTTAAGAACTTAATTCGTTCCGGAGGTCCGTTTTTAACCTGAAACTGTTCTTAACCTGAAGCACCACTTTAGCTAATGGGGCCTCCTGTGCCGCCGCGCCGCCGGAGCACAATTTCTGTTCTCATCCTGAAGCAAAGTTCTTAACCCGAGGTAATATTTCTGGGTTAGCGGAGTCTGTAACCTGAAGCATATGTAACCTGAAGCGTATGTAACCCGAGGTACCACTGTATTGGTAATTCCACTTGTTGTTGTTTAGTCGTTTAGTCGTGTCTGACTCTTTGTGACCCCGTGGACCATAGCACGCCAGGCACTTCTGTCTTCCACTGCCTCCCGCAATTTGGTCAAACTCATGCTGGTAGCTTCAAGAACACTATCCTACCATCTCGTCCTCTGTCGTCCCCTTCTCCTTGTGCCCTCCATCTTTCCCAACATCAGGGTCTTTTCCAGGGAGTCTTCTCTTCTCATGAGGTGGCCAAAGTATTGAAGCCTCAGCTTCACGATCTGTCCTTCCAGTGAGCACTCAGGGCTGATTTCCTTAAGAATGGATAGGTTTGTTCTTCTTGCAGTCCATGGGACTCTCAAGAGTCTCCTCCAGCACCATAATTCAAAAGCATCAATTCTTCGGCCTTCTTTATGGTCCAGCTTTCACTTCCATACATCACTAAATTCCACTTAGTAAATGTCTATTTTATGGGGATGCTCTGGCCTCTCCAGCATCTTCCCATCTCCACCCAATGCATGCTACTCCACATACAGAATTGCTGACATGCTCCCATTGACATCCCTCACCTATGTGGAGATCCATGTATGTGGGAGGCTGGGGGCATATACTGCTGCATGTTCCTTTTTTCTATTATTATTCTTACTGAATCTTTGGAATGGAGGGTATGAACTTAACCATCTAAATAAATGCTTGTAGTGCCTAATTGCTGTGGGCATCATATTAGCAAGAACTCAAGCCTGCTGACGGGTTATTTTTGTCTGCGTGCTTCCTTGGTGCTTATTTGATTAGCTGGCAGTTTTTCTGAAGTGACCTCTTTAATATTTAAGATTTATAACCAAGTGTATTTTCATTATATATCAGTGTTACCACACAAATTCGCTGCATTTCTGTCTCTGGAAGAGCAGAGTGCTTCTCAAAATAGACCCTTGGCCAACAGCATTAGCGTGGAACATGCGTTCTTGATTAACCAACATGAAGAAGAGTCAAATTTGGAGGTTAAAGGAAAAGGGTTTCACAAAAACAGATTGCTGTAAATGGTAGGTTTATTTGACTAGCTAGTGGCTTCAAAATGTATAAGAAAACTGATAGCCCCCTTTTTAATTACCTCATCCTGAAAACTGCTCTCAGCAAACAAATAGTTTGCAATTGGTTTGAACACATCTGGAAACGAGAAAATAATAGGATACCACTGAGGATAAAATAACTATGCTTGTGCTGAACGTCTTCCCAATTCAATTTTCAGGTTGAAAGCAGTCCCTGGAGGGGAAAGGATTCCCCCCCCTTAAAAGTAAATTGTTCAAATGTTCACCTTCCCCCAGTTCTGTTTGCTTGAACTGCTGCTGATTCTGTGTCTTTTTTCTCATGGCTCTTCTGAAGTCACATGCTTTGTCCCAGCCAACTGTGGATCATGTTGTGAACATGATGATTTCACAGCTAGGGATGGAAGGATCTGTTAATTTCAGCTCTCTGTTTCTTATTTTTCTATTCTTAAATTCTGCCCTCCACATTTTGCAGCAATTTACAATTAAATAATAATTCTCACAAAAATTCATCAGCATATTTAGTGTGAATTTATCCACATAAACATATTTTTATATACTATTTTGATCAATGTGTGCACATTTCTGCAACTAATTTCCCCACATATAATGCATTTTTGTTTGTTATTTTCACTAATATATTCATTTTTATGCACATTTTCTTAATATTTGCATTTTTGTAAACATTCCTTTGTTGGCAAACTGAAAAGTAAAATTTGGATAAGTGTGAATTTCAAAGAATAGTTGTGTTTCACTTCACATATTGTTCAGAAAGTGCTAATTTGACAGATCCGGCTTTAAATGAGACCTGAATCAAATTTCTCCCCCATCCGTAGTCACAACACACATAGCCAGTCATATCTGGCTGCTACATGGTGATGATTTTGACAGCAAACAATGCTAGTTTGAGTGAATGCAATGTTTCCTAGCAAAAATTATACAGGTGATCCTTGCCGTTTGAAATCATTCATTATACGGAATGAATCACAAGGCATATAACAATTGGATTTGGCTACCTGATAATGTCACTAAGGGCAAATGAAGCCAATTCAGAGTGAGGTCTGTGCTGCCTCAATTAGCAACACTTTTGAGACTTCTTGAAGCAGAAATTGTTCATGAGAGACAGGCTCACTCAGCTTAGCCCTAAAGGTAATGCCTGCTGTGTTGTTATAGTTTATTTTCTTACTGATTGATTACATTTATATCCCATTGTTTCTCCAACAAGCCCGAGATGATGTTTCTGATTGTCACACACATACCACTTTATCCTCACAACACCCCTGTGTCAAATGCAGCAAGGGCTGAAAATGGGAACCTTTGGCTACCCCACAGGGTGAGCTGCTGAATTGCATGTTGCAACTTCTGCCTAGGCAGCTTAGTATCTTCAGGTCCTGGACCTGGACTCACTCCACCCAAACAGGTTGGTGATTGGATCTTCCTGGACAGGCAGGACTATAATAAAGCTTTCTATTGCAGTTAGTTAAGCCTTACTTGAACAGTAAGGTCTTCCTGAGTTCTTACATTCTTTGATTTTGGCTTCCTCCTTGATCATGGCTTGTCATATTTTGTAATTAGTCTTTGGTCAACCACTGGCTTTGTCCCATGATTCACCTTAGACTGCTTCCTATTGATCAGTTCTCACCAGTGTTGGCCTAAGGTATTTTGCTGCATGAGGCAAAGGACAAGATGGCTTCTCCTTCCCATTCCATTCACCAAAGCCAACTGTTGAACCTTACTTGAATGCTGGCATTTAGACAGCATTTTCCACTGCACCTGAGGCAGCAGGCTACTTTAGGGGGTCTAGGACAGGCCATGTGGTGTGTATGTGTGTAAACTCCCCTGTGATCCTTGGAGAAAGGGCAGTATAGAAATTTTGTGCACAACAACAACAATAACATGTATATGGGTTAAGTGTGTATGTGCTCTCCAGCACAGATGGACAGCTGTGGGGGCTACTATCAGTGTCTCACAGTAACTGCTGTCCAAGACAGCCACCCTACACTGCCTAATGGAAGGGGTGGCCCTGGTCCAAACACCCTTAGGCTGAGAAATACCCAGTGAGATACCCAAGGACACCCAGTGAGCGTCACTAGGTTGAAATGTGAACCTAGGTCTCCCCATAATTTGCACTCAAGCATCAGAATACATTGTGCAATGGTTATATGTTCCAAGCTGATGGTGAAGCCTAAAGGCCTACATCTCATGATGGGCAAACAAAATAGGCAGTTCTGCAAAGTTCTTTCGAAGTCCCCTTGCTTCACTTCTAAAACCAGGAAAAGGTCCAAAATGGTACAGCTTTATTGAAAATACCCCAGTGTTTTTCTAACAAAGCTCTCGTCCATGGAAATGACTTAAAATTACAAATCCACATGCCTAGGTAATTTAATTTAGTTGTTAATCTTTAATCATTTTTTTGAACAAAATACTTGCACGGTATGCCTTGGAATCCTCTTTAAGTCTTTTGTTTACATTGTTTTGGACTTTCCTTCCTTTGTCATTTTTATCCTCTTGTGTAGCCCTTCTAGCTTGACTCTCTGTCTTGCCTCCGCAGTGCCCAGAAAGTTTGCTTGCTGCAAGCCTGCCTAAGGCACATGAGGTGATTTAAATGGCAGGCTGGGGCCACTCCAACACTTGAAATGTGCCATTTGTTGCTTCTTGGCCTTTAAAATGATTGAATACCATGGAATGCAGTAGGGATGCCATAGGCTGTGTTGAGGACCCCAAAGAGTCTGATACAGCCCCGGAGCCTTGCCTTGGCCTCTAAACTTCCATGTTAGTTTTAGGAGTCATCACTTCCTACTATTCTGATGTCCTTTTCATCATGTGAAATGTAGGTGGCCTCCTTGTTTATTGGCCTGCTTTCTGCCTGGTTTTGTAGTTTGCTGAACATCCATTGGCCCCTCCTCCCCTACTACTTATCATTTAGGCAAATCGGTCACTGCCTCACCAACCTCAGTATGACCTCTGACAACCCTCACCTACATGACTTCTTAAAACTAGTCCAAGGGGTGGTACAGCGTATCAGTTT